ACTCCCGGTCAGCAGAATAATGAACTAACACCTCTGCTGAGTTCAACAGGTTCTTGGATTTCTGAAAGGCTTCCTCTTGTCTCTTTTGCCATGTCCACCGTACCTCGTGTCTCAAAAGTTTATGTAAGGGTGCCAGTAGGGTTGCCAGGTTTGGAAGGAACTTGTTATAGTAATTTAGCAACCCTAAGTATGCTTTCAGTTCAGTGACATTTGTGGGGGTAGGTGCATCCCTGATGGCTTTAACTTTCTTTTCCACTGGGTGGAGCCCCTGAGCATCCACTATGTGCCCCAAGTACTCCACTTCCTCTTGCATGAAAACACACTTGCACCTCTTTAACCTCAACCCAGCCTCCTCCAACCGGGTCAACACCTCATCCAGGTTTTTTAGATGGCTTTTCTCATCCACTCCAGTCACTAAGATGTCATCTAAATACACAGCTACCTGAGGTATCCCCTTCAAGAGACTTTCCATGGTCCTCTGGAATATTGCTGGAGCAGAGGCCACTCCAAAAGGCAATCTGTTATACGTGAACAGCCCCCTAGGTGTGTTTACTCTCACGTACTTTTTTGATTCGTCATCCAAGAGGATTTGCTGGTAAGCGTGGCTCATGTCTAATTTTGAAAACTGCTTACCCCCGGACAGTGTGGCAAACAAGTCCTCCATTCTGGGTAGGGGATACTGCTCCAGGGAAGCCACTGTATTTACAGTAAGCTTGTAATCTCCACACAGTCTTATTTTCCCCGTGGGCTTCAGAATTGGCACTACTGGTGCCGCCCATTCAGCATATTTAACTGGCGAGATGATGCCTTCTTTCAAAAGTCGATCTATTTCCTCGTTGACTTTTGCTCGCATAGCATAGGGAACAGAACGTGGACGGAAAAAACGTGGAGTGGCATCACCTTTCACATGAATCACAGCTTTCATGCCTTTCAGGGTGCCCAGCTCCTCTTTGAATACAGCCTCATGTTCATTTAACACCTGCTGAAGTGTTTTTTCCGTTGTTTGGACTCGGTGCAGCTTCCTGTGGTTACGACTGTTTTTTACTTCATTCCAGTCCAATTTAATTTCCTCAAGCCAAGCGCGACCTAGCAAGTTGGGGCCGTCGCCTTCGACCACCACCAGAGGCAGATGTTTTTTCTGCTGCTTGTAATTTACACTGACTCGTGTTGCACCAATTACCTTAACAGGATCCCCTGTATAAGTTTCCAGCTTGATTTTGATGGGCTGCAGTCTAAGGGGCTTAGTGTTTTTTCCCGTTTCTCTGAATGTTGCTTCGTTAATGACTGTTAGGCAACACCCGGTGTCTATTTCAAAGTTCACCCTTTTTCCATCAATTTGCATATCTACAGTGTAGGGGTCTACTTTCCTCAAGTGTACCACACTGCCACGCCCTAGCTTGTACACTTTTCTTTTGTGCTCTTGACTGCACTTAACACAGTTCATCGTGAACGAGTCATCTTCAGAGCTGTCAGTTTGGCCGTTATCTTTTTCCTCGCACACTTTGTGAGTACTGTAGTGTGAACTCTGCTTTCTGTCTTTCTTTACATATGTCGATGCATACTTTTTCTGGTTCAGTTTAGTCTTGCTTCTACAAGCTCTGGCTATGTGTCCCACTTTACCACAAGCATGGCATTTTTCTTGTTTGTACTTACAGTCTGCCGCTGTGTGCTTAGTTCCTGTGCAACGATAACACTCCTTGCGTTCTCCTGTAAAGGTACGACTCTCCTGTTGTCCTTTGCTGAGGTTAAAACATTTTGCTGTCGCCCCTGAGGTTTGCAGATCCTGTGCATTTTTATTTGCAGTCTCCATGGCTACTGCAATTGACAGGGCCTTGTCAAACGTAAGATCTACTTCTGACAAGAGACGTCTCTGAATTCTGTCATCTTTAATTCCGCACACAATCCTGTCTCTCAACATCTGTTGTAACGTGTTGCCATAGTTACAATCCTGCGCCAGGCGACGCAGCTCCGCTACGTATTCCATGACCGTTTCATCCGGCTTGCGGGAGCGAGAGTCAAATTTGTACCTTTGCACAATTTCACTGGGCTTCGGGTCAAAGTGATTTTTCATCAGCAGTACCAGCTCTTGGAAGGTCTTGTCTTTGGGTTTGGCCGGACTGAGAAGGTTTCGCATCAAGCTGTACGTCGCTGCTCCGACGACACTTATTAAGATCGCTCTTTGTTTTTCTCCATCGTCGATCTCGTTAGCTGCGAAAAACTGCTCGAGTATTTCCGTATACTCATCCCAAGTCTGACTCTTTGGGTCGAACGCTACTAGCGTACCAATTGTAGCCATTTCTGCTTCGAGGTTACTGGCTTCTATTACCAGCCGACAAACTTTTGCATTCTTTGAAAAGCTAGCCAAACCTGTAGCGGGCTCCGTCACTTTTTTTTCTTCAGACCGGTCGAACCAAACTCCTTCCCCCTAAGCGTCCTCGTCGCCAAAAAGATGTTGCATCTTCAAAAAATAAAATAACTGAGCCTTACTCCGGAGTGTCGTTGAAACTTGTTTACTGAACCGGCTATTCAGAACATGTACAGAACATCAGCATCCATTTGTTACTTACTACTCCCGGACACACTCTTCTTCTACTGTTCTTCCAACATCATGTAACACAGAGCCTCTACTGCCTCTCCTTGCCTCACCATTGTAACAACACCTCTTCTATTTCTTGGAGATGAATAACAGGAACCTGATATGTAGGCATCTGTGAATAAGAACTATTATGCGTACTCAGATATTTATATGAACAACTAATTCCTCACGATACCACAGTCCCCCTACAGGGTCAGCTCAGCCGAGTATTTTTTTTTCGTCTCATGAGTCTGTTTTCCTGTCATCTGTAAAGTAGAGGTTGCATCTTTCCTTAGTCTGAATGCAGAGCCCACTTCCTGGAGGAATCCTCCTGTTTCCTTCCTGTTTCCCAGAACTGAACAAAACTCTGCGTTTGTGACTCTACTGTCAATGTGCATGAGGCGGGACTTTAACAGTGACTCAGCCATCCAATTATTATCATCCTTAAAGGGAGAATAGGCAGTTTAACTTGCTTTTAGCACCCCCTAGTGACCGTTTGTATAAGCAAAACCAAAACCCATCTCCTCGCTTTGTGTTCGTCTTAACACCTTAATCTAACAGCTGAAATGTCTCCCAGCATTCCTAAGTGTCTAGAAAAGTGAATCATCACTAAATTAAACAAATCAGCTGTGTTTATGATCTAAAACATACAGGAAACATGCTGAAGCAGACTGTAGCACCGGGTAGGTCAGCTTGATTTTTAAGTCCCAACAGAGCGAACCGGCAACTGTGAAGTTGCAAGTGGAATGTTCTGGCCACAGGAGGCGATAGGGGCTGGGTGACCTTTCATTAACCATCTAAAGGGTCATTTTAGCACAAACTGGCTCAAGAAAATGAT